ATATATATATATAAAAATACATTTTTCCAGTGTTTTGCCCCCTTCCCCAACCCATAATACAAGCTCTACCTGGTCTCTTCCCATGGTCCCTCTTCACTAGATAAACCTATCTCATATATCTTACTTGATCTTATAATTTTTTTTCCCTACAGTGGACATCACACTGAATCCAATCAACCTAAATTTAAACCTTGTCCTTTCAGAAGATCAGAGACAAGTAATGCCTATGCCAATTTGGCCTGTTAAATCTTATAATTATGGTATCTTGGGCTCCCAAAACTTCTCTTCAGGGAAACATTACTGGGAAATAGATGTGTCCAAGAAGACTGCTTGGATCCTAGGAGTATACTGTAGAACATGTTTCCGTAATATAAAATATGCTGTTAGACAAGGTACAGATTATCAAAATATCTTCTCCAGATACAAACCTCAATTTGGCTACTGGGTTATTGGGTTACAGAATAAATTTGAGTATAAAGCCTTTGAGGAGTCTTACACATCTGATCCCAAGGTCTTGACTCTTTCCATGGCTGTTCCTCCCTGTCATGTTGGGGTTTTCCTAGACTATGAAGCAGGCATTGTCTCATTTTTCAATGTCACAAACCATGGATCACTCATCTACAAATTTTCTAAATGTTGCTTTTCTCAGACTGCTTATCCATATTTTAATCCTTTGAACTGTCCAGGCCCCATCACCCTGTGCCCACCGAGCTCCTGAACCTTCTTAGTCTCTCATCCACTTCTGTGTGGCACCTCTTGTCCTGGGCTCATCTACACCTGAGCTTACCCGCTTCCATCCTTTCTCCTTTTATTTTAGAATGTCTTTGTGCATGCTTTTCTGCATGTATGTAAAATGAATGTGCACTTTTTACCTTTTTGTTTCTCATTTAATTCAACTACCTTTATAGTTTTGTTATTGTTGTACTTTAGTAGTTGTTCTGTGGTTTAAGCCTATGTCAGTACCTTGATATTTTTTTTCACAGATTATTGAGGCTCTGTTCATTGTTTTCATATTGGATAATTTGTATTAATCTACTTTGAAGTTCACTTAGTCTTTCTTTTGTGATCCTGGATTTCTCTTAAGCCAGTCCTACATTATTTTTTGAGTGATTGTGGCTTTTAGTTTTAGAATTTCAAGTAACAAAACTATTTTTATTTGTCTTTTGACATTTCCTATTTGCTCATTAGTATAACCATATTTTCTTTCATAACCTTAACCTTAGATTTGAGGACTGCTGTTAAGTCCTTGCCTTTTTTTGTTGTAAATCCTTGTAAATATGATATCTGGATTATCTTGGTGTTGATCTCTATTGATTGCTTTTGCTCTTGAGTATGGACCATGTTTTCTATTTTCTTTGTATGTTAAACAATTTTAACATGTACCTAAAATTCCCCCGGGGAATTGTGAATGGGATGTAAAGACTCTGGATTCAGTTAATTTTTCTGAAGAATATTTTTTTCTTCAGGTAGTTAACTTGGTTGAACTCAAATCCTAAATTCTCCCCTGCATTTTGCAGCAGGTGAAATCTCTAGTCAGTTCTTGTAGCTCTATTTGGGCTACTTGGTATCTGTCTCAAACAAGTGTAGTTCTGATTGTTGCTGAGTGTACGTACAGTTTGGGATTTCCTTCTCTGGATCTCTCTTTCACAGACATTCTTTTGCCATTTTCAGCTGCAGGTACATCCTCAAATTATTCTTCTTGCTCTTCAAGTTAATAAGTCTGTATGTTGCTGAGTTTTAATGTCCTACTTACTACTAATTGAGGTTTGCTTTCAAATAAAAACCCACAAAACCAGGAAACTCCTCCAGTAGTATTCCCTTCTTCCCATGGTCGATTACACTGTAGATTCTAGTGTTTTGTCACTCTCTAGTGCCTTCATGTTTTTTGTTTTGTTCTTACAATTGTTCAAGTTTCATAATGTTGACGTATAGGTAACGGGTACTGTTTTTTTAGAATAATACCTCTGTTTGTGGAAACAGAACAAGTTTTGTTTGTCCTGGGTATCCTAAGCTATAAGTTCAATTGTTGAATTTTAGTATTTTTTTTCTTTTTTAGACAAACTTCTAGATTTTGTTCAAAGTGGTTATACCATTTTGCATTCCCACATATTTCAGAAAGGGAATAATGGGATGGAGTAGGATGGTTAATGAAGACATAGTAGGAATAGATGTGTTTTTAGTTATATCTGGTTAAAACTGGATGGGACTGGAGAGTTCAGAGTCTCATTGTGTGACGAGTGCAGCATAGTGGTATTGATTGCAGTGTTCACAAGAAATGAGCTTCCTCACCCAAGGACCTCTTCTCTACCCAGTACTTCTTCCTTTGCCAATCCTTGCGCAGATCCAACATCCATGGTTTTACTCCTCTTCATCTGAATCTCTGAAATGACCCCATATCCATGGTCAGTATCTTGGGACATTCTTAGGAAACATTGGCTTTGCAGCTGAGAGAAATCAGTGGGAAAGTCAGGTCCTGTCAAGATACCTGAAAACTTGGGCAAGCAGAACATCTGAATTTACTATGCTTCTCTCACCAAACATATTTTCTCACCAGAGCGGAGTACGTGTCTATGTTCCACATTCCAGCTTATTATCTTCTGAGTTACTGGGAAAAAGAAATCTTTCTTAGGGCTCTGTATTTCCCCTCCAGTCATTACATCTCCTGCTTGCAGAGGAATCTAATGAAATATCTCCCCCTTTGGCCCGTGGATTTTTAATACTTTTTGCATTTGAGAAAATCTTAGGGTAAATAAAGCAAAACTTAACGTGGTTAAAGTATATCGGTGGAAACAGATAAAACACCAATCCACGTAAACCGTAGGAAGAAAAGAGGAGATGTGAAAAATTGATTAAAATTTGTCAAATGTGGAAACAAACCCAGAGCCCATCAATGGATGAATGGATAAAAAAGATGTGAGATATATGCCATGGAATACTACTCAGCCATAAAAAAGAATGCAATCTTGACATTCAACAACACAGATGGGCCTTGAGGGTGTAATGCTAAGTGAATTTAGACAGAGAAAGACAAATACCATATGTTTTCACTTATATGTGTAATCTAAAAAACAAAACAAGCAAATAAAACAAAATTCATAGATACAGAGATCAGATTGGTGGTTGCTAGAGATGGGGGTTTGGAGGTGGGCAAAATGGATGAAGGGGATCAAGAGGTAAAGACTTCCACTTATAAAATAACTCATGTAACATACAGTCTGATGACTATAGCAAATAATACTGTGTTGCAAATTTGAAAGTTGCTACAAAAGTAAATCTTAAACGTTCTCATCACAGGAAAGAAAACATTTTCTTGATTCCCTATGGTGATAGATAGGAACTTGATTTATTGTGGTGAACATTTCACAATGTGTACAAATGTTGAAACATTATGTTGTACACCTAAACTAATATAATGTATGTCAATTATACTTCAATAAAAAATGATCAAAGGGGAATCCAATATATGTTATTGATACCAGAAGAGTAACTGAATTCTATGATGTGGCAGCAACTGTGTTCAGAGCAAGAACGGTGTATAGAAGCATGATTTATCATCAAAATGTTCCATTCAATTAAAAATGTTTTTAAAATTATATATCTGTGTATCTATCTATTTATCATTCTTTATATGAAATGACTTCTAATAGATCTGAGGCAATAAGCAACAAAATAGGGAAAGTCCCTGCCTAACCTCATGAAACTTGAAGTTGGGGGTGGCCACTGATATTGCCACTGATAATATCAGTAATACAGTAGGTTTCCTGCTGCATTTCTCTCTGTTGCTTTGCACTTCTGCATATTAAATTAAATTTTTTTAATGTTTATTTTTTTTTTGATAGAGAAACAGAGCACAAGCCGGGGAGGGGCAGAGAGAGAGAGAGAGAGAGAGAGGGAGACACAGAATCCAAAGCAGGCTCCAGGTTTTGAGCTGTCAGCATAGAGCCTGATGCGAGGCTCAAAGTCACAGACCATGAGATCATGGCCCAAGCTGAAGTCTGATGCTTAACCGACTGAGCCACCCGGGCTCCCCTAATTTTTTAATGTTTATTTTTGAGAGACAGAGAGAGACAGAGCACAAGCAGGGCAGGGGCAGAGAGAGAGAGGGAGACACAGAATCCGAAGCGGGCTCCAGGCTCCGAGCTGTCAGCACAGAGCCCAATGCCTGGCTCAAACCCATGAACCTTGAAATCAGCACTCACCTGACTGATCCACCCAGGCGCCCTGCATATTCATTTTCTAACTCAAGGTATAGTGGTGGAGTCCTCACCTCCAGGAGTAACCTTGTTTCAGCAAGGACTGCCAGAGAGAAATTCAAGCAAAGGAAGCCCTAGATAAAGAACTTATGGCATCTCTGTGGGCCATGGCCCAGCTCTCTGGACCAGTTGTGCACTGAGTGCAACAGAAGAGAGAGAGAGGCCTGGTTTTGCTCAGGGATGCAAAAGATGCTATGAGGAAGACAGTAGGGTAAAGTCAGAAAGTTCTTTGAAGCCTAACAAATTAACGCCTGTCAGTATTAATCATGTAGGATTTCTGCAGTGCTCTCCACATAAATTCCTAACACCCTGTCCCCGGGTCTGGGAACCTTAATGGTGTGACAGTCAGTCCCTCTACAGCTCCTTTGGTGTTTTCTAGTCCTACAAGTTTTCCAAATTCAAACTCCGAGATCTCCAGCAGCTCACACACACAAAATTACTAACTTTGCTCGTCCTTCTCCTTGGGTCATTGCTGCCACCCAGAAACTGAGCTCACCTGGGAGATCAGCCAGAACACATAGGAAGGATTTCCATAAGGAGCATCTTGACGACTGTGAATAAAACAAAATGAGATGCTTGTTTGGTGTTAAATAATATGAAAGGACATCAGAAGAAGGGGCATGTTAACAATATCCTAAGACCCATGAGAAAAGAGAGAGTAGGAAAGCTTCTTTATTTTGACTACCTTTCCTCCTGTGAATGACAGCTACATTCCAGACTGACTCATTCAGACTGCAGATCCCATCAAAACTCCTTTTTTTTTTTTTTTTTTTTTTTTTTTTTTTTTTTTACAGTGACTTCCTCTTATCTGACCAGGTCTTTTGGGATTAAAGTTGACTTAAACATTATCAGGGGCACCTGATGGCTCAGTCAGCTAAGCATCTGACTTCAGCTCAGGTCATGATCTCATTGTTCCTGGGTTCGAGCCTTCTGTCTGCCTCTGCCTCTGTGCTGACAGTTCAGAGCCTGGAGACTGCTTCAGATTCTGTGTCTCCCTCTCTCTCTGCCCCTCCTCCGCTTGCACTCTGTCTCTCTCTCCTTTAAAAATAAACAAACAAAAAAAAAATGTTAAACATTATCACCCTTACAACACCCTCCTTGTACAGTTGGCTCTCCTACATCACTGTTTGGCATGCATTCTTTGAAACTGCACAGCTCCCCTGTTTTGTTATCATTGTCATTATCACACTTCACCAATGCCACTTGACATAGAATTTTAGAATTGTTAGGGTTCTCCAGAGAAACAGAACCAATATGAAGGAGATTTATTATGAGGAATTGGCTCACATGATTGATTATTTGGGGCTGAGAAGTTCCAGGATCTGGTGGCTGCGAAGTGGAGACCTAGGAAAGCTGGTGGTGTAATTCAGTCGGAGACCAAAGGCTTGAGAACTGGGGTGGGTAATGGTGTAAATTCCAGTCCAAGGACAGGAGAGGACCTGTATCCCGGCTCAAGCAGGCAGGC